GCAGCTGGATGGCTTCTCCTCTTTCTAGAAAGATCATCAAATTGTGACTGTTTAGAAGTCCAAGTCTCACCCAGGTCTGTGTTCTGCTTTCACACAAAGACACATTTTACATCTATGGAACAAAATGAACGTGGAGTGTTTTCAAAAGTTCCTAGGAAAACTCTTGTCTCAAAATGTGCCAATTACTGAACAAAGAGGGGTCTGATGAGGAAATGGAGCTTTGACTGGAAAGCGTTTTTGCTAATTATCTCTGCTCCCAGAAGAGGTTATAAAAGGGTCCAGAAGACCCTCGCCCAAAGAAATAGGTCATTTGGTTGTGGACACTGTCTGCTCCCCAACATGTTGTGGGACCCAATTCTCCTTGGATATTTTTTCAAATGACACAAATGGGGAAGATGGGAACCAGTGAGGTAGTCACAGGTCTGTATTTCTATTGTCGAGAAAAAGAGGAACATAGGATCAGCCTTCCAGACTGGGTTCTGGTTCCTTGATGTGCAGACATTTCTACCACATTTCTTATTTTAACAGAGCTATCGGTGAGGCTGACTGAGCCTGGAGAAGGGAGCTCCCTGGGGCGTGCACAGAGCACAGGGTGACCGAAGGCAGGAGGACGGAGGTGCAGGCAAGGGGGGCGCTTTTGTGGGCACAGAGAGGTTGGGTGAGGGGCAGGAGAGCTGGAGGCTGAAGGGGCCCCATCTGTGGGACCTCCCACTCTGTGCGAGTGCTGCGTGCTCAGCACCTGGCAGGGAGGTGGAGTAGGGTGGCAGACAGGGAGTGCGGGGCCCCGGTGTCCACCCTCCCATTTTTTCCAGGAGGCAGAGTATTGAATGGTCACCCAAGGACCAAAAACAGGGTTAAGATTTTGTTTTTGTTTGTTGGTTCGTTTCTTCCCCCAGTCCGGCCATGTCCACCACGCGCCTCCTTTTCAGATCAACGAGGAACCCCAAATGCTTCCTGATCGAGGCTGCTGCATGTCCGGCCTGACAGTGCACGCACAGCGCCCAGCTTCACTCTCTGCACCCAGGAGGCTTTCCCGGGACTCTGGACCCACCTGCATAGAGGGTCCAGCACCATCGGCCACCAGGCCGTGAGGTGGCCCCTTGGGGTGGGCGGGGTCAGGAGGATGGCCGGCCCCTTAGGGAGACGACCCTGCCCCGAAGCCGGGCAGGTTTCGCTCTGTTTTGTTTGTGATACTCATGCACACCGGCTTTTCTCTGTATTAATCCCTTTTACAAAGCTTTTAGGAAACATACAAAAAAGCATAAAGAATAAAACAAGATACTCACGTCCCTGTGGCCTAGTATAAGGGAAACAAAATGAACATCGCGGAGAGCGCAGCAGCCCCATGGCGGCCCCCTGACTGCGCCCCCGCCCCCCACCCAAGGCCATCTTGAGTTTGGGGCATATCCGTCCCTCATCCCACTGGCAGCCCAGAGGGCACGGCCCCCTCGCACATGGACACAGAAGGGGCTGCATCGTAGCACTGCAGCAACAGAAATTGTGGAAGCCACGAAAGACATGAAAACTCTGCAGATAGAAATGCAGCGACCAGAAGCTCTCTGTCACTGATGCATTAGCTCTCGACACAAGGAGTGACAGGTCTAGTGCATGGCCCGCTTGGGACACGGAAGCCTGTGGGTGGACAGCCCATAACACAATGACAAAGTACAGGGCCTGGACCAAGCCTGACCCCTGCTAGCTATTCCTGGCCAAAGGCTCACCCACACTCAGATGAGGGGCTGTTACCATTTGACAGGGGCGTGAAGTCATGCAGCGCGGGGCAGCGTTTGCAGAGAGGGCTCAGTGTAATCTGGCGGGTAAGGGGCCCTAAGTCCGTTCCGTGGTGAAGTCAATGCTCAGCTGGGTCTACCTACCGGGCTCCCATTTGGAATATAAAGTAAAAATAAATAAATAAATTTCATCTAAATAAAATGGAAGCCCTAGTGGCTCGTTGGGGTGACTTGGAGCACTTCCTAAGGGACAGATGAGAGTGGATGGGAGCTGACATTTAGCTGTAGTTCCAAATTTACGGAACATCTCCTTGCAATATGTCCAGGTGAGCCTGGAAGTGCACTGGGCTGGGCGGCCAGCGGAGCTGCCTGCCCTCCGGGCTGCTCTGCCAGCACCTTCCTCCTGCCCCACGCTGGGCACAGGCCATCTGTTTATATTGTGGGGTCAGTTGCCCAAGCTCCTGCCAAAGGTGGCTTTCTGTTTAAAACTTCTTTCTCCTTTCTTTGTTTCAGGATGGGTCACATTGTGTATTAGTCTGCTTGAGGTGCCATAACAAAATCCCACAGACTGGGTGCCTTGAACAATAGAATTCATTTTCTCACAATTCTGAAGGCTGGGAGGTTCAACGTCAAGGTGCTGGCCAGGTAGGTTTTCTGAGGCTTCGTCTCTTGGCTTGTAGGGGGCCGCCATCTGGCTGTGTGCCCATGTGCCCTCTTCTTTGTGCCTGTAGGGGAGGGGGAGCTGGGACTCAGCGCTGTGGGGTCTCTTCTTATAAGGACACCGATACTATCAGACTAGGGCCCCACCCTTATGACTTCACTGAACCTTAATTACACCCTCAAGACGCTTTCTCCGAGTATAGTCACATCAAGGGCCAGGGGCTCAACTTGTGAATTATGGGAGAACACACCCCAGTTCACAGACACCCAGCCAATGGCTCGTAGTCTGCTCTGCGGCTCCAGAGAGGTAGAAGTAGTGAACCTGCCAGAAATACCCTGTATCTCAGTGGTAGTTACTTAGGGGTGTGGGTGTGGGTGTAGGTGTAAAAATTCCTCAAGTTGTATATTTAAGATTTGTGCATCTTATATATGTTATGCCTCAATAAAAACAATCTTTTTAATGAACACACAAAAGAACAGAGAATCCCATTAAATCTCTGAGGCCTTTGGGAATGAAAAAGGTGACCCATGGTGTCCTTAGGCTAAGAAGAGACACCAAGGACTTGCAGGAAGAGAAGGAACCTAACTTTTATTGAGTATTTTGCTGTCAGAAACAGAAGTCTACTCACCTTGTCAAGTATTAAGAGTCATACAAGAGTCCAAAAGAATGGGAGAGGTCAGCCTCACAAAAGACAGAGACTTGGGGCATTCCCTCCCCGCTCTCCCTCCCTCTCCTGAAGTTCCTGCCTACGCGGACGCATCTGCCGCAGTTCCCTCTTTGGACTCGTTTCCTCTCCTGTCTCGTCTTGGATCCTACGGCTCCCACAGCCGGTCGTAGTGCCACCCTAGTCAGCATGAGTTTTCATCCTCAACTCCCACCGCCAACTGTTCCTTCCCTTTGTGTCTCTTAGGTCAACCTCCCTAGAAGGAATGTGATCAGGTTCCAGAACACCTTTTCAAGCCCGTCTCTGGATGTAAGTTAAATGGCTGCCCTTGGGTCTGAACACCTGGAACCAGGAAGAAGGTCATGTAGTACAGTTCAAGGTCATTTAAGGGCCAGGTCCTGGGTAAGGATAATGTCTTTTCTAAAGAGGGGCAGGCAACAAGTAATGGATGTCTCAGGAATAGGTGCCAATTTTGTAGGTATTGGGATTTTAAGGATTTCTATGTATTTTCTTGTGATGTCTTTGGCTTTGGTATTGGGGTAATGCTGGTTTCAAGCAATGAGTTGGAAAATATTTTCTCCTCTTCAGCTTCTGGGAGAGTTTGTATCAAAGTGGCATTGTTTCTTCCTTTAATGTCTGGTGGAATTCACCAGTAAAGCCATCTGGGCCTGGAGCTTTCTTTGTGACAAGGTTTTTTGCTCCAAATTCAATTTCTTTAATAAACATGGGGCTAGTCAAGTTATCTATTTCTTCTTGAGTGAACTTTGGTAGTTTGAGTCTTTGAAGGAAATTGTCCATATCATCAAAGTTATGGAATTTATTGACATAAAATTCATCATATTCCCTTATTATCCTTTACTATCTCTTTAATCTGTAGTGATGTACTGTGGATAAAGTGAAGGTTCCTACACCAGGATCCTCACCTGAACCTAAACTACTTGATGACGTCACTGGCCTGCTGCTGGGCGACTGCTCCCACACCCATAGGCAATGAGCTGTCATTGACTGAGTCCCTCTATAAAGAACTCTGCCCAGGGCTCTGGGTGGAGGCAGAGATGGAGGTGGATTATAGACTTGCAGACTGATTCTAGTGTTAAACCTACTGCCCATGAGAATAAAGTCGGGTATAAACCCTTTTACCCCAGGAACAGTCCGCTGTCATTTCTCCATCTCACTGAATCCATAGTGAACTTTTCTGGGGATGAAACCCTCAGGAGAGACAGCAAGTCACTCTCTCTTTCCCGCACCAGAGCTGTAGCCACCTCAGAGGATGTGTGCAGTCATGCTTCCGTTGATGATGCCTGTGTGGTCTTTTATTATCTGTGAGCTCTTGTATTAAAGTAGCTCCAGAAATGGAGCCATTCTGGAGCAGTTTTAATACAAGAGCTCAGCCAAGATGATGCAGATCTCTTTTCATTTACAGTTTTAATACAAGAGCTTTAATACAGTTTTAATATAAAAGCTCAGCCAAGATGATACAAAATCTCTTTTCATTTCTTGTTGATAACACTAAAGAATAATGAGACCACCCAGGTAAAACAGAGGCACCTTTTTCTTTTGAATAAAGCAAACTTCTAGAAACCACATGATTGTAGATATGGATTTTAGCATATTTGCATTATTGTTTTTAATGTTCAAATCAAATTGAACATCTCTCCTATTTGACTAGAGAGAGCCCCTTCAAGTTGGTTCCTGTGTGCTTTTAACCCAACTTACAGTCTCTGATACCTTCTTTGCTCATCTCTCCCAGCCCTGGTACGGCCATGTCTCAGGAGTCTTGGTATTTAGATACCAAGAACTAGGCAAGATATACATACTTTTCAACACAGAAATTACTTGATTTTCAGATCTGTTTTTGCCGTAACTAGAAGCCTTTTCATTACATAGTTACTGACCTCAAACCATCAAGTCATTTGGGATTTAGTGTCAGTTTGGACTGGAGCAGTTCTCAGCCTCAGCACTGCTGACATTTTGGTCTGGAAAATTCTTTGTCACGATGCTGTCCTGAGCACTGTGGCATGACTAGTGGCATCCCTGACCTCTACACCCTAGATGCCAGTAGTGCCCTTCCTGCTGTGACAACCCAGAATGTCTCTGGATATTGCCAAATGCCCCGTGGGGTGGCAGAATCCTTCCCCAGGAGGAACTGTGGATGGCTTCGAGGATGGCATGAGAAATGTCCTGGAACAAACCAGAGAAAATCAGGCCCCCAATGTGACATCCATGGCAGCTTCTTGCCTCCATTTCCCATGTGTCTTATGGGGATAATGGCTGCGCAACAACAACACAGAAGCAGGTGTGAAGGTGAGGAGCGGACGTTACGTCAAGGGCGGCACCTCACTGAAGCTGCGTTGCTTTTTGCTAACTTGCCTGAGATGTTGCAGCATCTGATGGCACTGACTCAAGTCCTGAAGGTCGCCCAGACGCTTGTGCTCCCACCAGGCCTCTTTTTAATGTTAGCCTTGATTCAGATCTTTCATTTTACTGCCACCAAGAGAAAGTCCCCCTTAATTCATACCAGATGCTGAGTGAGTCGTCATGAATCAATACAACATCGTCCAAAACCACCAGAATGAATCATAAGGACAAACAGGACTTTTTTTCTCTGCAAAACAGTGACAAAAATAGTGTTTTTGCCCTTTCAGAAAAAAAAATTTATAAGGTTAAGACAAGGCTTGGGGCCCTGCTTGTGTAATCCCTGTGTCAGTGGGTGTGAAATGGTTAAACTGCATGTGTAAGCCTGCCGCTGAGCCGGGCAGATGCCGCGAGGGGAGGCGAGACTCCTGGAGTGAAGGTTCTAGACGGGGGTCCGGAGACCTCCTGGGGCTGCCATGCCATCTCCTCCTGCCGTCTGAGACTCAGAGTTTAGGGGAGAAGGGGCTCTTGGAAGTGAGAAGGGGCTTCCAGGAAATGAGCCCTGGGACTCTCCTCCCGACAGCTGGGGAGATCCCTGGGCCTCACTTTCTCATCCCTGGATTCTGGATCGGCACTCCGATTACCTATAGGAGCCAGATCTGGGGTCCTGGGGTCCGTCCTCCCTCCTGGGGGGGAGCAGGGCCCACCTAGGTGCTCTCTCCCAGGGCTCTGGAGAGAGGCAAGAGAGAGCAGAGTGGGGCCCACATGGCCCCATGGTGGCTGGATGAGATGACCTGCGGGTGCCTGCTTCTGGGTCCCCGGGGCCTCCCTGCTTCCTGTCCCTTTCAGACCGGGTTCTTTATGTTCCCCTTTATTTTGTGAGGGGCCCCATATCCCTGCAGGGAATTCCCTTTGTGGTCGGGTCAGCATCTATCACTTACCACTACGTACCCAGTCATTTCTGCTCAGGGTACTGAGACAGGCACCTGTCCACATCTCATAGGCTTGGGCCCAGGTCATGTGGCACTAGAGCCACACTCGAGGACATTGATGGGGTGCAAGTCAGAAGATCTCTCTCTGCAAATCAAAATGGGGTGCTTGAGGCCAGGGGCTCCTGGCAGTGACTGTGTCATCGCTGATCAAGGAGACCTACAGCAGTGAAAGAAGATGGGACTGTTAACCAAGAGGCCCTCTGTGCCACCTGGGTGGCCTCCAGGAATCCGCCGCACCTCTGGCCCTTCCATTCTCTTACGTGGTGGCTGTTCCCTGTCCTTTGGCAGCCCTACTGTGTGTCGTGGCTCCTTCACTCCTAAAATGACCATTTCAATTTTTCGATTTTGCAAATCTCCATGGTTCTCCCATCCCCCCCTCGCTCCCAGCTGATGAGTTTCTTATTCTACAGAAAAAGTGCAGACCATCATATAGGGACTCCTACAACTTGCCAACACAAACCCTCCCTGCCGCCCCATCCCGTGCTTGGGGTATTTAGCAGCATCGCTGGCCTCTGTGAGTTAGATGCCCCCCGGCAGGGCCCCCCAATCATGGCAATCAATAATGTCTCCGGACATTGCCCAATGTCTCCTGGGGCATAGAACCAGCGATCTAGACCAACCCCCAGCCGCTCTGTCCTGCCCTGGTGGCCCACATCTGGTCCCCAGGAAGTACACTGATGGGCCAGCCCTTAGCGCCTCTCACACGGCCCTGTGTAGAAGCCCCACTGCTGACAGACATCCACAGCCTCCCCACAGATTTCCAGGCAGGCCTCAACCCTGTGTCCCCATGGCTTCACCCTTGGAGTTCTCCAAGTGGCTCCCCTCAGCTGATCTGAGGAGACAGGAAACACAGCTTCCCCCACCCAGGGGGAGGGGGACTCCCCAGAACAAGCCTCTCCCAAGAAATCTGCTTCCTAATTTCGGTTCCTCTCTCAGCCCATCCAACCTCTAATAAGCTGGAGGTGGGCGGTCCATCAGACATCAGTCCTCAGACATCTCCCCTGCTGGGCCTGGGCTGCAGGAGCGGCGGCGCCACATTCACGTCTGAGTCCGCGTGCCTGCCAGGTGCCTTCCTCCTCCTCGTAGCCTACTTTCCCGCTCCTAATCACTCACCCTCTCCCTCCTAACTGAAGCCTTCCCCCCACATTTAAACATGTTTCAGTCTCCCCCCAAATTAAAAAAAAAGCTGCTGTGCCCCCAAAGCCCCTTGTACCTTCCACCCTGATTCTCTCCTCCCCTTCAGAGCTAACTTGAGAAAAAGCCGTGCCCCTCCACTGTCTCCCTCCTCACCTCCCACCCCTTCCAGCCTGCCTGCCACCCACAGCAGTCCCCCAACACGGCTTTGACCCGGCTGGTGGTCTCTGCCGTGTGGAGCTGAGGCCGGCCTGCTCCCCCTCAGGAGGCCGGCACGGGAGCGGCAGCGGGCCGCGACAGCTGGCCTGACTCAGGGTTGAGGGTGGGAGCTGCAGATGACAGAACGGAGCTTCTGTGCAGTTGCAGAAAGAATATCTGGCCTTGAGTCCTGGGAATGTGCCAACGCCTTTCATCCATTCATCCATCCATCCATCCATTCATTCATTCATTTTGTGTGAGCACAGCTTGGGCCAAGCGCTTAGGCACAGTAGGTACTTTGGGAATGAAGCAGGCATGGTCTGTGCCCTCATGGAGCTGACCACCCACTCAAGGAGGCAGGGATTAGAGTCATGGCAACCTAGATGTTTCAGAGAGAAAAAGGACAGGTGTGTAAGGGGGAGTCTGATCTGGCCAGAAGGTCGGAAAAGAGATGCTTAAGCCGTGGTCTGACTGAGGAGTAGGGATGCACTAGTCCAGGAGGGATGGAGAAGAAGACAGCGATAAGAGGATTCGGGGGGCCCGTGGGACGTGCTCTTCCCCATGCGGTGTCCCTGCAGTGGGGCACCCCCCAAGGCCCCGTTTCCCTGGGGCTGTGCACCTACTGCCTAGCTCCTGCTCGTCCTTCCTGGAACCTGAACGGGAGCCTTCCTTCACAGAGTGCTCCCCAGACCTCACTCTCCTTCTGCATCTTTTTTCTTGACGTTGTCTCCCAATTTTATGGACTATCATTTCTAAGGGATCTCTGGTTCCAGAACCCTCTCCTGAGACCCAGGCTCATAGCTCTATTTGCCCGGTGATCATTTCTACATGGATACCCGGCACCATCGCAGACACGACGATCGTAGTTAGAGAATGTAAGTCTCACTTTTGTTGAAAGGAATGTAGAATGGTAATGTCTTTTTTTCCCCAATGTAGATTAAAAAGGGACCAGCCGACACAGAGCATCTTGAGCAGAGCACGACATTCGACTTGGACCTTAGAAACTTGGTGCAGATGGTAAGTTGTGAGCAGCCTTCTTTTTAACGCCAACAGGGACACTGAAATTAAAGAGCTGTGATGAGCTGATGAATCAAGTCGGAGCAAGCTCCCAGGAAAGCTAAATTTAACTCTGCCCTGCTCCATACTCCAAACCCCAGATCCCTTTTTTATGATTTCTTCTGACTCAGAATGATCCGATTGTTCAGTCTGGGTGACGGGGTGTATGAGGGGATCATTATCCTGTTCTGTGTATGTCTGGAATTTTTCCCAATACAAATCTAAAAAAGAAACAGCTCTCTCTCTAAAAAATAACTAGTCTGTCTTAATAGGCTGGTTAGTACTTATCCGCAGTGTAATCCTTAGCCTCCTGGTTTGAGAGAATGATCTGGACTCATAAATGTGCTTTTGGCAGGAAATCATGTGACATGAAACATGTAACTGTGCCTTGAAGTTGCAAATGACATAATCAATGCATTATTTTCCTTTGTGCTCCTTTTCTTTGTTCTTCTAACCGTGTGTCTGTGTGTGTGTCTGTCTGTGTGTGTGTGTGTGTGTGTGCGCGCGCGCGTGCATGCGTGCTCACGCTCTGAGAATTTCTGAGCAGGGAGGAAGTGGTTCAATCTGCTTGTCTCTGAGCAACTGCTGGCTTTTAGAATAAAGAAGTGACTCTACTTCGTTTCTGATTCAGACGCAGCATGAGACTGTCTTTCATCCACCGTATCTAAATTTAAACGCCTGTCTTCGCCTCCTGTGGAACTTCATCTGCTTCCCCATAACATTGTAAAAAAAAACTTGGCTTCACATGGTGTTTAGGTTAGAGCTGCGAGAGGAGTAAAAAGTTTTGAGTGCAAGAAACATCAAGGAGAGAATGCAAACTGGTGTGGAAACGTGATGCAGCTCAGGAAACTGCTTGTGACACTGCACAGCTGGCACAGGCGTCCAGGTGAGAACCCGGTGCCCTGGCGCCTCGGCGGTCCAGGCTCGGTGCATCTCAGAAACCAGCCCTCCATTTCTTCACCCATAACTGTTACTCCTTCCCACCCTTCTCCCATCCCCGTCCTCATTTCAACAGAAAAAGACCTTCTCTCTTAACCAACATTTGAGTTATTCGATACTATCAGTTTGCACATTTCACACACTTTGTTTAAATTTTTATGTTAATATATGGTATTTTCCTCTAATCTACGGACCCATTCCAAGACCCCCAGTGGATGCCTGAAACCACTATATATATTGTTCCTATACATACATACCTATGATAAAGTTTAATATATGAACTAGACACAGTAAGAGATGAACAATAATAATAAAGTAGGACACTTATAAATATACGCTGTAATAAAACTTATGTGAATGTGGTCTCTCTCAAAATACCTTTCTGTCCTGCTCTCACCCCTCTCGTGATGATGTGAGATGATCAAATCCCTGTGTGATGAGATGGACGGAGGGGAGTGACACGGGCTTTGTGACACAGCGTAAGGCTACTATTGACCTTCTTCCAGTAAGTCTCTTCGCTTTGGGGTTGCAAATCTTTGAATAGGAAGTTAAAACAGAGACCCAGGACCATTCCAGAGCAATCAGGGGGAACAGAGTCACACCCCACAGCGCCTGAGACCGCTCCTCTTGTAGCACAAATGAGAGCGGTGGGCAATTTCCTGGCAGCTCCTGGCTCTGTCAGAAGTGAAGCTGTAAGTAAAATGGCTTGGCCTCGGTCCCCTCCCTGCCTGCATCGGAGCAGAATGGTTTCTCAGTCACGGATTCACTTCCTCCCAGCAGTGTCTCAGTGAAGTTTTTTTTTTCTGGTGGACTTTGATGTGTATCTCATCTTTAGGCTGTACGTGGCAGCATGGTTTATTTATCAGGGATGGTGGGTTTCTTACATTGGGTTCCAAAAGCAAATATTGAGACAGGAGTCATGTGCAAAGGATCTATTAAGGAAGCGCTCCAGGGAGAAACAAAGAATGGGGGAAAGTGATGTTGGCCAGACCTCGACCTCAGCCTGGTCCACAGGGAGTTCTGGAGGGTGATTGTGCCTCGGAATTTGTCCCCCTCGAACAAGGGAGCTGGGCTTTTGTACTGCTGCTCCAGGGCCTGGCCACGGACACAGGAAGGCAGGCAGTCTGATCACTTTGCACATTTCACGCCGGCAGCTCTGGCCCCCTATGTGTGCTGGTGTGCACTGCAGCCCCGGTAGCCCAAGGAAGATCCTCTGCCCAAAGTCACAGGTACAAGCCACTGGAAGCGAAGGGCACAGAGGTGGAAGATGACATACAGAAATGTGAATGAGATTATGATATTGTGATTTATAATAAGAAATATACGTCTCGTCCTTATCTTTGATCCTGGTATAGAGCTAAAATTCTAGGAATTTCCTACGTGATGAGAGCCAATAAATGTCTTTAAAAGTCATGTTAATGGGGTAACTTGGGAGGCCCCTAGATCACTTAAAGTTGGGCTGGCTGTTAAGGGAACCAACTGTGTATTAGAGGGTTGGAACTCTCAGTCCCAGCCCCTGGTCCCCTGTAGGGGAGAGGGGCTGGAGGTTTAATCAGTCTCCAGTGGTCAATGATGTAATCAGTTATGCCTGTGGAGTGAAGCTTCCATAAAACCCCAAAGGAACGGAGTGCAGAGAGCCTCCTTTCACAGAGTGCTCCCCAGACCTCACTCTCCTTCTGCATCTTTTTTCTTGACGTTGTCTCCCAATTTTATGGACTATCATTTCTAAGGGATCTCTGGTTCCAGAACCCTCTCCTGAGACCCAGGCTCATAGCTCTATTTGCCCGGTGATCATTTCTACATGGATACCCGGCACCATCGCAGACACGACGATCGTAGTTAGAGAATGTAAGTCTCACTTTTGTTGAAAGGAATGTAGAATGGTAATGTCTTTTTTTCCCCAATGTAGATTAAAAAGGGACCAGCCGACACAGAGCATCTTGAGCAGAGCACGACATTCGACTTGGACCTTAGAAACTTGGTGCAGATGGTAAGTTGTGAGCAGCCTTCTTTTTAACGCCAACAGGGACACTGAAATTAAAGAGCTGTGATGAGCTGATGAATCAAGTCGGAGCAAGCTCCCAGGAAAGCTAAATTTAACTCTGCCCTGCTCCATACTCCAAACCCCAGATCCCTTTTTTATGATTTCTTCTGACTCAGAATGATCCGATTGTTCAGTCTGGGTGACGGGGTGTATGAGGGGATCATTATCCTGTTCTGTGTATGTCTGGAATTTTTCCCAATACAAATCTAAAAAAGAAACAGCTCTCTCTCTAAAAAATAACTAGTCTGTCTTAATAGGCTGGTTAGTACTTATCCGCAGTGTAATCCTTAGCCTCCTGGTTTGAGAGAATGATCTGGACTCATAAATGTGCTTTTGGCAGGAAATCATGTGACATGAAACATGTAACTGTGCCTTGAAGTTGCAAATGACATAATCAATGCATTATTTTCCTTTGTGCTCCTTTTCTTTGTTCTTCTAACCGTGTGTCTGTGTGTGTGTCTGTGTGTGTGTGTGCATGTGTGTGTGTGCGCGCGCGCGCGTGCATGCGTGCTCACGCTCTGAGAATTTCTGAGCAGGGAGGAAGTGGTTCAATCTGCTTGTCTCTGAGCAACTGCTGGCTTTTAGAATAAAGAAGTGACTCTACTTCGTTTCTGATTCAGACGCAGCATGAGACTGTCTTTCATCCACCGTATCTAAATTTAAACGCCTGTCTTCGCCTCCTGTGGAACTTCATCTGCTTCCCCATAACATTGTAAAAAAAAACTTGGCTTCACATGGTGTTTAGGTTAGAGCTGCGAGAGGAGTAAAAAGTTTTGAGTGCAAGAAACATCAAGGAGAGAATGCAAACTGGTGTGGAAACGTGATGCAGCTCAGGAAACTGCTTGTGACACTGCACAGCTGGCACAGGCGTCCAGGTGAGAACCCGGTGCCCTGGCGCCTCGGCGGTCCAGGCTCGGTGCATCTCAGAAACCAGCCCTCCATTTCTTCACCCATAACTGTTACTCCTTCCCACCCTTCTCCCATCCCCGTCCTCATTTCAACAGAAAAAGACCTTCTCTCTTAACCAACATTTGAGTTATTCGATACTATCAGTTTGCACATTTCACACACTTTGTTTAAATTTTTATGTTAATATATGGTATTTTCCTCTAATCCACGGACCCATTCCAAGACACCCAGTGGATGCCTGAAACCACTATATATATTGTTCCTATACATACATACCTATGATAAAGTTTAATATATGAACTAGACACAGTAAGAGATGAACAATAATAATAAAGTAGGACACTTATAAATATACGCTATAATAAAACTTATGTGAATGTGGTCTCTCTCAAAATACCTTTCTGTCCTGCTCTCACCCCTCTCGTGATGATGTGAGATGATCAAATCCCTGTGTGATGAGATGGACGGAGGGGAGTGACGCGGGCTTTGTGACACAGCGTAAGGCTACTATTGACCTTCTGCCAGTAAGTCTCTTCACTTTGGGGTTGCAAATCTTTGAATAGGAAGTTAAAACAGAGACCCAGGACCATTCCAGAGCAATCAGGGGGAACAGAGTCACACCCCACAGCGCCTGAGACCGCTCCTCTTGTAGCACAAATGAGAGCGGTGGGCAATTTCCTGGCAGCTCCTGGCTCTGTCAGAAGTGAAGCTGTAAGTAAAATGGCTTGGCCTCGGTCCCCTCCCTGCCTGCATCGGAGCAGAATGGTTTTGCAGTCACGGATTCACTTCCTCCCAGCAGTGTCTCAGTGAAGTTTTTTTTTTCTGGTGGACTTTGATGTGTATCTCATCTTTAGGCTGTACGTGGCAGCATGGTTTATTTATCAGGGATGGTGGGTTTCTTACATTGGGTTCCAAAAGCAAATATTGAGACAGGAGTCATGTGCAAAGGATCTATTAAGGAAGCGCTCCAGGGAGAAACAAAGAATGGGGGAAAGAGGTATGTGATGTAGGCCAGACCTCGACCTCAGCCTGGTCCACAGGGAGTTCTGGAGGGTGATTGTGCCTCGGAGTTTGTCCCCCTCGAACAAGGGAGCTGGGCTTTTGTACTGCTGCTCCAGGGCCTGGCCACGGACACAGGGAGGCAGGCAGTATGATCACTTTGCACATTTCACGCCGGCAGCTCTGGCCCCCTGTGTGTGCTGGTGTGCACGGCAGCCCTGGTAGCCCAAGGAAGATCCTCTGCCCAAAGTCACAGGTACAAGCCACTGGAAGCGAAGGGCACAGAGGTGGAAGATGACATACAAAAATGTGAATGAGATTATGATATTGTGATTTATAATAAGAAATATATGTCTCGTCCTTATCCTTGATCCTGGTATAGAGCTAAAATTCTAGGAATTTCCTACGTGATGAGAGCCAATAAATGTGTCTTTAAAAGTCATGTTAATGGGGTAACTTGGGAGGCTCCTAGGTCACCTAAAGTTGGGCTGGCTGTTAAGGGAACCAACTGTGTATTAGAGGGTTGGAACTCTCAGTCCCAGCCCCTGGTCCCCTGGAGGGGAGAGGGGCTGGAGGTTGAATCAGTCTCCAGTGGTCAATGATGTAATCAGTTATGCCTGTGGAGTGAAGCTTCCATAAAACCCCAAAGGAACGGAGTGCAGAGAGCCTCCCAACTGGGGAATGTGTGCAGACGGTGGGAGCATGGTGCTCAGGGAGCACGGCAGCTTGGGCTCCTTCCCACAGACCTTGCCTGTTCATCTCTTCCTGCTGGCTCCAGTTCCTGGGTTATATCCTTTTATAATAAACTGGTGATCTATTACATAAACTGTTTCTGAGTCCTGTGAGCCAGGCTAGCAAATCAGTCAAAGCCAAGGAAGGGGTCATGGGATCCTCCAGCCTATAGAAGTTGGTCAGAAGCCCAGGTGGTAACCTAGATTTACAACTGGCATCTGAAGAGGAGGACGGCAATCTTGTGGGACTTAAACCTTAACCTGTGGATCTGATGCCATGTCCGGGTAGACTGTGTCAGCGTTGAGCTGAATTGTATGACACACAGCTAGTGTGGTAGATTGGTTGGTGTGGGAGAAAAAGTACTCATTAGACGTGGAACGAGAATTAGAGGGACCCAGGGAGCTGTAGGTGAGGCACCAACAGCGTTTGCTG